GCATCGAGGCAACCGTTGGGGTCAACGCAGCCATCGGGGTCAACGCAGCCATCGGGGTCAACGCAGCCGTTGAGGTCAACGCAGCCATCGGGGTCAATGCAACCATTGGCATCAAGGCAACCGTTGGGGTCAACGCAACCGTTGGCATCAACGCGACCGTCGGCGTCAACCCTTTTTATTTAAAGGATCGGACTGGGGGTGCAGGGGTGGGGATGGAGATGCTATTTTTCTCCCGCTGGATGGAAGCCGGAGGGCAGGATCGGGGGGAGGGAGGGGGCAGAGCAAAGGGGTCGGGAGGGCTGGGGAGGAAGGGGCAGACGAAGACGACGAGGAAGAGACGCAGAACCGCAGAGAGGAGCAGAACCCAATGTTTACAGAATAGCTTTAACTCTTAGCCCGGCTGTGGCGGCTGGGGAGAGGAAGCCCAGCTGTTCTTCAACAGTCCTTTCCAAATAACAGTATTCAGTTTGCAAAGTTAAATAAACAGAAAGAAAAGGTCCGGTTGCACTTTTTATTTTAGGACACGCAAGGGTTGTCTTTTATTTTTTTAAAAGCATTCTATTATTATTATAATTTTTTCGTTGTCGTTCTTTTTGTATGTAGTTATTTTTTTGGATGATTCTTGACGGTTCTATAAATATATATATATATATATTTTTTTTGTAACACAGGTCTTATCTTCTATTTTGCCAATGTGAAAACTGCCCAAAAAAAAGCATTACGAGGGGTTGGAGGGGTGAACGTCGCAAAGAGAAAAGCAGACAGATTTCTATTATCTCCTTTTTGTTTCGTGGTTGGTTTTTTTTTTGTTGGGTTTTTTTTTTTTTTCCCCCTTTTGTTGTTGTCGTTCTAGTTTTATTTTTTTATTTTTTACCTCTTTATGTATATGTAGGGAATTTATAGGAAAATATGTACTTTATTGAATAAATTTTAAAAACTAAAATATATTTTATTTTAAAAAAGAAAATAACGGACCTTTAACCTTACATGGCTAAAGTACTGATTATATATTTGCTGAGCTGACTTGACGGTTATGAAAATTGTATCAAGAGTTTTATTTTTTGACTTCAAAGCCTTCTTAATAAAGACTTTTTACTATATACGAACCCGTGTGCTGCCTCTGCTGCGTGGCCGCCTCCAGTCTCTTGGGTTTTGGGACCGACTGGGGGAGAAATGGGTTGGTGTCCATGGGGTTGCACGTGGCAGCCCTTGGGCAATGGGAGATTGGGTGTTTTTGAGGCAGGAGGTGTTGGTTTGTGCTCCCAAAGTGGAGAATGATCGCCGTTCTCTGCCTCTCCCCTCATGGGGACCCCATGGGTTGTTGAGAGACGATGGTGCCCCTGGGCTGTGGGACCCAGTGAATGGGCTGTGGGGAAGAATGGGCCGTTGGGACCCAGAAACGATGGCACCTGTGGGCAATGAGGACCCATAAGTGGTGCCCAGGGGGACTCTAGGTCCAAGAGGGTGGCACCCAAGGGTGGTGGCACCCATAGGCAGTGGTACCCACAGACCATGGAGGCCCATGCCAATGAGCTGACAGCCATGGCTGGCAAAAAAGCGTGGGGTCCAGGAGCTGGGGATCAGTGGAGGACCAAGGACCATAGACATAGGAGGACTGACATGACCCAGGATGGGCATTTTGTGTCACTCTGAGCCTCAGGCAGGGAAAGGCAGATTGTTGTGCTTGATGGTGGCACTCCTGATCAGTTTTTGAGTAGAAAATAACAAGGCTTTTCGCTGTTTTTGTTCAATATTCTCCTTCCTTGATTTTTTTTCAGTATCCCTTCATCTCTCAATTGCAGCTATGTGTTCCACCTTGGAGGAATTAATCTTTCCTCCCTTCCAACCAACTTTATTCATATTTATACACAATTCCTTTTACCTCTGTGTAGAAAACACACAACAGTGCACTCCCTAATCCACAACACCCCCATTTACACGTGCAGATATCTTCCCTCCTTCTGCCTTCACGAACAGCAGCAGCAGAACAACATTTCTACTCAGAGCGCTGTGTTTTCTTACCTAAAAAAAGAAGAAAAAAAAAAAAAAAGTGTTTTGTTATTTTGTTAATGGCTTGAGTTATTAAGGACAGCCCTGCTGCCCTCAGGCCTCAGATATTCACTGCCTTCCACTCAGGATCACGGCGCCACTTCCGCGTTTACGCGCGCATGCGCGTTACCCTGCAGTGGACCGAAGACCATAGATATTGGATGACTGGTTGCGCAGAGCGGTTGAATGCTCACGTTGCTCTGTGGAGGACCGAAGACCATAGATAGTGGATGACTGGTTGCGCAGAGCGGTTAGAGCAAAGCAAAAGCCCTTTCGCTGTTTGTTGCGCATGCGCAGTGCGAACAGGAGGACCCATTACCATAGACATGAGAAGGCTGGCAGAGTAGAGCGGTTAGAGCAGAGAAACGCCATTTCTGCGTTTCCGTGCGCATGCGCAGTACGAGCAGGAGGAGGAACATCTGCTCCCGAGGCTGCGGTTCGCCTGAGCAGCACTGAAGGTCTCCTTCCTACTCTGAGCCTTGGGTCTGAGGATGAGAGACTGGGCGGGCACGGGGCAGGCTCTCCGGTCAGCCTCCATGCACAGCACGGGGGGGAAATTCACTCCCTGCTGCCCCAGGAGCATCCACAGCCATGCAGGGGCTGGCAGTGCGGGCAGCGCTCTGCCCTGAGCCCTGCTGGACCCCTGCGCTGCTCACACAGGTCCTGGAGCACAAAGGATGGGGGAAATGTGATCCAGGATGGGCTCTGGCACCTCCGCTGCCACTCACAGGGCTACGACTCCTCGGTCTCTCCAAAAACTCCCAATGCACTTTTCCTGCTCGCTTTCAAATTAGGTTTTTAATTAAATAAATAACGGCGAGGGGCCTTCAAGGCAGTATCACTTCACAGTGTAGGGCATGAAGGTGGGAAGGGGGAAGAGTCCAGCACTGGGAGCATCTCCAAGTGAATGTGCTTTGTAAGAAAGAAAAAGAAAGAAAACCCCAACAAAACCAAACCTCCTCCCCCTGTGCCTCCCCTCCCCATCCCGGCCCTTTCCACCCCTCTCCCTTTTAAAGTGATGTGGAAAAATGCGCCGCGCTCTCCTGTTGACACGTTGAAAGACCCCATGCGAATCTGTAAACAACACTGAATAGTATAAATAAGAGACACTTCTGCCTCCTCCAGCCTCCCCTCTGCTCTCATCGGGGCTTGAAACAAACCAAAGAAAAAAAAAAACAGTTTCAGGAAAAACTAAAAACCTTCTTGGCTGATGGAGAGAAGTCAAGGCCCGGCCCTCCCTGGGAGGGCTGCAGCTGCTCTCTCCCTGCCCCCTCCTCTCCTTCCAGCCAAGGAGTTTTCTCTCTCCCCCAGAAAGGGGGAATCACAGCCTGGGAAGTTCCACTATGGAGCTGGCATTTGGATTTGCTTTCCATTTCCAGCAGCTGGGTGCAGCCAAGGACCTCTGTTTTACCATATGTGGTTCGCAGAGCGATGCCCGGTCACAAGAGCATTGTGTCAGGATCTTGGCACAGCTCAGCGTGGGCTGGGACTGAAACAACCCCCTGCTGGCATAGGGGAACAGGTCTGGGGCTCAGAAGGTGAGAGACGAGGTCTGATCCTAAGCCATCCCTTGAAGCTGTCTGGCGCTCTGTGCTCCCTCCGCAGGAGTTCAGCCTCACCGTGCCAGGTAAAACGAGGATCCAGGCTAATAGTTTTAGTCACCTTCCAAACCCACTGGCAGCAGAAGCAACTGCAGGATCACAGCCTTGAAGGCTTCTACCAAAATAAGCAAAAAAATCTTAACCCAAACCCTTTCTCAAACACAGAAATCATTAGTGGATTTAAGCCAGGGACAAACTCTAGAGCTGGCACACGTCTGTGACACCAATTGGCCACCACAGCTCCCTGCACAGCAGCCAGCCACCTCCTACCCACCCCATCACCTCCTGAGTGCTAATGGCAGTACAGACATCCCCTTCTCTCCTGTATGAGAGTTTGGGGTGATGTTTCAGAACAGAGGTGGGTGGAAAGGGAAGAAAGGAATGCCATGTGCTCTTCTGCTGGGTCCCGGTGCTGGCATTGGTGCCCTACACTCACTGGGTGTCCCAGGAGCTGAGGTGCACACTGTGTGCTCAAAGTGGCAGTGAGAGGATGGCTGGTGCTGCTGTGGGCAATTTTCTCTGATTCCAGCAGTACAGGGGCTGAAAGCTGTCTCCCCTCAGGCTGCATCCATCCCACATTTGGCATCACTGCCCCAGGGAGACGCAGGCCAGTGGTGGGGTCAGAGCAGCTGAGAGCTGCCCTGTGCTGGCACCTTCTGCTTCTCCATATTCACCTTCACACTTCTAGCTCCAGCCACTGTCCAAAGCGAGATTCAACTCAGAGATAACCGTTCCCTTCTTCTGCAAAGGAAGGTGGGAAAGGCTTCAGCATGCACCATGCTATCGCAGCGTCCATTTCCAAGCCCTGAAGCTTTGGCCAGAGGACTGGAAGAGTTTGCACCATCTCACCTGCAGCTGGGGGCAGCGTGGGCAGAGGGAAATGCACACTGCAGGAGCTTTGAGAACAGCACTGTGTGCACCAACCACGACCCACAGCTCAGAGCGCAGGGAAGGGGAGGGGGGAGAGTGGCTTCTACTGCAATGCACTACATGTGGGTGAACAGCCAGGACTCCTCACCTTCCTTTGGCATCACCATGCTCACCTCTGCTGGTGAACAGCCCTCCAGCCCAAGCAGACCGTGCTCCATGCCGATTTCCTAAGCTCTCAGACCCTCTGTCCAAGCCCTGAAGTGCCCGTAACACATCCCTGTTTTCAAAACATCTCTTCACTCACTGTCCCATTGGGCCAAAGGGCACTTCCCCTGTACTGAGGGCAGGGATTTTCCCAACAGCCTGGCATTACCTGGGGTAACACATGGTCAACGAAATGGGGGGGGTCATGAGCCTCCCCCCTCACTCAAGCCAGCCACCAGCTTTGCATGAGTGTGTCAGAACACGCTGGAGAAGAAATGTGTTTGGTTTCACTGTAGCCTTGGATCAAGGAGGATGGAAAGACGGATTCTGACCAAGAGCTCCAAACTGTCCCTACAGAACAGTGGAAGTTCCAGGATTTGACTCAGTCAGGTCCAAGTCCTTGCTGGGTCCGTGACAGGTTTGTGACTGAAGATTCTCACTGTGACAAAGGCTCTGACCGAGCCACAGGTGCTGAGCAGGCCTGATGAGCAGTCAGGAAACTATTTACATCTCCGATGCCAATGAGGCCAAAATCTGTGACCGATAAGGACACTTGAGCAGGGGCCACCGCTGCCTCTGGGTCTCTGCCCAAATCCACAGGGCCAGCAATTAAAGGCAAACCCTCATTAATGTCTGCAGGGAGAGTGAAGTCCATGGTTATCGTCTCACCAGAGCTTTGTAATGTCTCCTGCTTCTCTGCCAGTTCTGGTCCTGCTGGTGGCAAAGCAAAGAGCCCCGTGTCCGAGGGGGTGACAGCATGCCGTGTGCAGGAAGCAGAGATGGTGCCTGAGGAGGTTTCTTCTGCAGGGTCGAAGGAACAATTTGTCTCTGAAGGAGTACTGCACTCGTAGCCCTGTCCCGATTCACTCATGCTGCCCAGGCTGCAGGCTGTGCTCTCCACGCTCAGGGGCTCTGCGTGCAGCAAAGGAGGGAAATGTAAGGGAGACGGACAGAGAGGGAGGGAGGAAGAGGAGGAAAGCAGTGAAATAAAAGCATTTCACTTTGGAGTCCATAATGTATGAAAACCAGAATCCAGTTCAAATCCCACCTGTCCAGAACAGTTCTTGTTTGGTGGCAAAAATGTTTCTTTACCATAGCAAGCACAAATCCTGCCAGCATCTACTAAAGAAAGGCAGGCAGCTGGTAAGGGGGCATTGGTGTTTCTATAGAAATTAAAAGGAAATCTCAGGCTCTCCAATATAAACCCCATCCTAAACTCCAGCCCCTCCAGCACCCGGCAGGTGCCAACACGAAGCCCTTCTCAGTGGTAGGACAGAGAGAGGGAGTGAACCCAATTCAGCCTCTCTGAGTCTTCTCACAGCTCTGAGAGCAGTTCACAGGTACAGACTGACTTCTGGTGCTTCAAATCAGCCTCTGGAGAACACACCTGTGCACATTAACTAAATCAGGAGCATTGGAAACAACTCAATACTGCAGGTGCCCAAAGTCAGTGCATTCTCTTGCTTTGGGAATGCCACGGGCCATTCTTCTGCATGTGAAGCAGGACCAACTGTAAGTCAACTCCAGAAAAGTCAGTGCTCATCACTGCAGAGAAAGCCAAGTCTCCTTTTACATGCACCATACTCTGTGAGCACACTGACACGATCCAGGGAAAAGAGCAACTGCTGGATAATGGCAAGAGGAGAAAGGCGAAAGGGGGGTCCAGCTGCTGAGTGATGGAGAGGAGGAGAACTCCTCTCCCGTGGTAAACAGAAGGGAAGGAAGTTACCTGTGCTCTCAATTGCTAGCTGGTCTTGGCCAAAGTGAGAGTCCAGGCAGCTGGTGGCAGAGGGAATGGGAGGGGAGCTCCGAGAGCGGCTGGTGTTTTCCACCTCACCCCCATCCAAATCATTGTCAGTGTAATCCCTGCAGGGAAAGGCAGACAGCACTGTGACCACCCACAAACCAGAGAGATGTAGGCAAGGAAGGATCCAAACCCACAACAAACAAAGCAACAGGGCTGCAGGGGGCTCACAAAAAGGAACGTCCATCGCTTCTCGGTCTGCAGAACCCAGTTTAGGTTCTGGCACGGAGGCAATCGCAGTTAAGTCTTAAATATTTTGATTTGACCTTTTAAAGCATTTCAGCTTCAACCTTTTAGAAGAGCATTTGCTGTAATTAACGTAGATTGCAATTTGCCTCAAAGAGGAGCGTCTGGGAAATTAATTAATTCACCTCCAAAACACATCAGAAACTGAGTGCATGGAAAAATCCTATCCCTGAAATTTCATCCATCTTGAGATTAGCCCTGAGCCCCCGATCCCAACCTCTGTCATGAATGCATTTATATGAAAAAGAAAGCAGTATTTTCTGGCCTAAGTCAGTCCAGATCCAAGCACATATTTGCTTAACCATCCCTTCCCACACCAACGGTGGCTTAACTTCTGACAACTACGTGCTCCCACCCCAAAAAACCTTCCAGAGCTGACAGCACAGCCTTTACAGTGGAGGTGCTTTGCAGCAGGGATCTTCACAATATTACTAATTTTAGTGTGAGAATATTCCACGCACGTGGCTCCAGGGTGGAGGACGTACTTCTTCCTTCCTAAACGAGTCTGCTGAGTGAAGTAGTCGTAGCGTTCTGACTTCTTCCACATGTAATAATATTCCACACATTCTCCCACTGACCGAGTACGGACCTGAGGAGGAACAGCACAGTCAGCACCCAGCTGTGTGTGTCACAGAGCAAGGGCTGCTCACCCGTTTTTATCAGCACAGAAAGTCAAGTGCGTGGCGGTGATGTTATTGCTACAGACACATCTATACTGCAGAACAGAAGCAGATACTGAGATTTCCAAGGTGGTAATCAGCCAGAGAAGGAATTCCCCATGGTGCAGAATTGTTCTTGCAGACCCCAGTGTGGGCTCACACACAGTACATTCATGCAGGACTCTCCTGCACCTCCATAGCACACTTAACATCAAGAGAGCAAACCTGCATCCATTTTCGCTGGCCAGAGTCAACATGCCCACAATGAATCAGCTGCAGAACTGGACTCTCTGGTTCTGCCAACTCCCAGCACAGCAGCATATGTCCTGGGGCCCAGTTCTCCCTACAACAGCATCTTTCATTCTAGAGGACCCCAGGGGACTTTACAAAACATCCACATGCTCAACTCACTCATTCACAGAAGGTACTGCAAAGGCTGAGAGTTTGGAAAGAACTTTTTGAGACTTCCAGAAAGGGCTAATCAGTAATTAACTGACATCACTCATGCAGGCCAGTGTTGTTTGTGACTTCTCCCACCTGGAAAATAAGGCAGAGCAGGGCAGTGAACAGCCCATCACCTGCTAGCATGAGTCAACACAAAGCCCGGGGTTGGAACTCAGCAGTTCTGCACTTCCTGCATTAGCCAAGGCTCCAAATACACCTCTGTCTCATTCCCTCTGTCTTAGTGGGATGCAGGGCTGAACATTCTTACCTTGTTTGCCTGGATAAGATGGAAGTTTTTCCCATGGACCCTGAAGCCGTGTTCAAAATTTCTACATTCTTCTTCACTCCACGCACAAAGCTCATCTAGAGGGAAAAAAAAGAGAGAAATGGGGGAAAATGCACAGAATCCAGGAAGAATTCTGTGCACCTTGATTTTGGGGTTCTCACCTCTGATAACCTTCACGTTGAACCGTAACCTCCGCAATGCCTCTTCTGCATTGAAGTTGCATTTCACCAGCTCGTACAAAGCCTAGGACACAAAAGAAAGTGGCTGACGGCGTGTAGGAGAGAAACAGACCAGAAGCAGAGCTCCTCCCGACTCACATCTGCCTTCTAACACTTATTTTTCCCTAGGAGTCATTTTGCCATTAGCCTCAACTTGGCCACCAGCCTGCGTTATGCTATTTCTCATTGGCACAGCACTGGATTACAAACCCTAGGACTGAGAAGATGCAATTCTACCAGCAGCTCTAGAGATTTCTGATGTGCTTCTGTATTTCTACAGATACTGGGGCTTGCTGTGAGAATCCAGCCTGGCTAGCTCATGGGAAACACAACTGCTCTGAAGTTTCTCCAGAAGTTTCACCTTCTGCTGGCTTAAAAGCAAAAGACACAGAATGCACAGAGGGCAGATCCAAAATGATGATCATGCCTGAGGGCAGGGAGGCCCTGCAGAGGGATCTAGATAAGCTGGATCACTGGGCCAAGGTGAATGGGATGAGGTTTAACAAGGCCAAGTGTCGGGTCCTGCATTTGGCCACAACAACCCCATGCAGCGTTACAGGCTCGGGGATGAGTGGTTGGATGATTGTGAAGAGGAAAGGGACCTGGGGGTGTTGGTTGATGCTCAGCTGAACATGAGCCCACAGTGTGCCCAGGTGGCCAAGAGGGCCAACAGCATCCTGGCCTGCATTAGAAATAGTGTGGCCAGCAGGAGCAGGGAGGTGAGCATCCCCCTGTACTCAGCACTGGTGAGGCAGCACCTCGAGTGCTGTGTCCAGTTTTGGGCCCCTCACTACAAGAAAGACATTGAGGCCCTGGAACGTGTTCAAAGGAGGGCAATGAAATGGTGAGGGGTCTGGAGCACAGGGCTGATGAGGAGCGGCTGAGGGAGCTGGGAATGTTCAGTGTGGAGAAGAGGAGGCTCAGGGGAGACCTCACTGCACTGTACAACTTCCTGAAGGGAGGCTGTGGTGCAAAAGGGTCTGGCCTCTTCTCCCAGGCAAATAGTAGGACCCGAGGAAACGGCCAGAAGTTGTACCAGAGGAGGTTTAGGTTGGATATTAGGAGAAACTTTTTCTCTCAAAGGGTGGTCAGGCACTGGAATGGCTGCCCAGGGAGGTGGTGGAGTCGCCGTCCCTGGCAGTGCTCAAGAGGCACCTGGATGAGGAGCTACGAGATCTGGTTTAGTGCTTGTGGTACTGATAGGAATGGGAGGGTGGTTGGACCAGATGATCTTGCAGGTCATTTCCAACCTTGTGATTCTGTGTGTGTGTGTATGCTGCAAGCTCTGCCTCAGAGGTTTTGCAAGGGCAGGATGAAGAGCCTCCAAAGAGCATCTGAGGGGCAGTCTCACTTATCTAGGAAGCAGGAGGAGAGGATCGCAGGAGGGTGGCCCCATCCTCTTGTAAGTGAGCCTTTTCAGGATCTCTGAAGGAATGTTTGCACCATTATGACAGACTTTTACCTTAACAGTATCTCTGGTTACCAGGGTTTACCTGTTCGTTGTCTTTCACCATCTCTCCTTCTGGCAGGCTGCTGCTAGACAGCTCGTCCCACCGCCGCTTCACAGCACGGTATAGGAACTCTTCAACCTCTCTTTCAGGTAGGATGTTTGGGTCCCAAAGCAGCTGATCTTCATTTTCATAGGCTAACAGAAAAAGCACTGAAATAAGCTCAGAGAATCCCACTGCTTTTGAGAAACAATCAGCATGGACATGCACTGCAGAGATAGGAGGAGAAAGAAAACCTTTGTTTGGACTCCAAGCTGGCACCAGAGATGGCAGCCATCTGTGTGAAGGCACTGCACCTTTCCCTCCTGATTTTGGAGGCAGATGAGCTTAATACTGCTTATACCTCTTTTAGAGCCCCAAGCATAGGCTTGACTCGTTTCCTCTTCTTCACAAGGGTTGGCTGGTGAGTTTTGTTGTTACCATGTTCTCTGTTGCTTTGATTCATTAATCTTAGCAACTCAAAAACTGTAGGTTGTAAGGTGTCTTTTCCCACATGCAGGAAACATAAGAATGAGGAAGAAAAGGCAGCTTTCAGCTACAAGTCTGGCCTGGGCTCAAGACTCTCTTCATCCTAGAATCAAAACTAAGCAGCTGCAAAGCTGTGCTAGCTTGTAATGCTCCTCCATGAGCTGCTCCATCCACATAAAATAGCAGCAGCACAAAGCATCACTATGTGCTTACAGCCCCTTTTAGGTTTCAAGGCTCTGAGTCCATGAGAGCAGGGCACAAAGCAATGTAAAGGTGTTTAAGTAAAATAAACAGCACGGAGGAAAGCAAAAAGGGATTCTGCAGTAAAAATAACCAGAAATACAGTGATTTCATTTTCTGTTCAGATAACAACCATTAGCTTCATGTTTCACCTGTTCACTTCTTTCTAGAGGCAAAGGAACCTTCCTGCCACATGAAGTCAGGTCAGAGGAAGCCCTGGCAGGGCATAAAGAAGATCCCTGTGTGGATCTACTGTCAGTTTCCTCTCATTTCATGCTGATGCAAACATACACACTGCATGAAACGCACTAAACCTGTGATCTTTAGCACAAAAGGCTGAGAGCACCTCTTTTCTCCCCTTTAACAAAGTTGCTTCCAGTCTGCTGGGTGAAAAGAACCAGTGAGGAAGTGAGTCATTTCTAAAAGAGGTGCTTTTCTGTTAACTATCTTCTTCAGAACCTCCACATGCTGCTGCTAGCAATGCACTCGTTACTAATCTGCACATCAGCATGTCTGCACAACTAATTAGGAACTGTCAGCTCCAGGTGTATCGACTGGAAGTAACTCTTGCTACTTCAGGAAGATGCCAGGAAAGAAGACATCACAGGATCTTGCTTTGGCTACAGATGAGCTCCCCTCCTCCTAACCTGCCATGCCAAGCCAGTTTTCATGGAGCTTCTGCAGTTCTATGACCAGCCAAATCCAAGCAAACTAGTTTAAAGCTAGCTGTAAATTTTGATGTCGATACTGAGAGATGCCAAGCTGAGAGATACAAAATAGATTTAGTGATCCAGAGCCCATCAGATCCCCAGGACAGCAACCCTACACCCAAATAAGACACAGCAAGGAAGCTGCCTTACCTTTTTCACTGTGCCTGTTTAAGTGCAGGATGGGAACGGTGGCTTGGAACTGAGGTCCAATGCTGATGTCCTGAAATACCATCACAGAGAGTTGGGTAAATGGAACAGGCTGCATGTTTACTTCAGTAAATAAGCAGGCACTGAGTTTACTTCATTATTTAAGGACTGTGACACCACGAGGCCAGGCTACAGCTGCAGTCCCCAGTGTCACTATTACTTCTAGGAACTCTGATACTTTATAAGGTAGCTAGAAAGATTTACAACTAGGCAGAGCAAACTTCAGGGACCTCAGGCATTTACACTGTTCTGATGTTGGATATACAGCAAACAGCTGAGGATGGACAGCAAAGATGTGCTAAAGGCCTCCTGCAACCTTCATAACCAGGATGAATTTGGAGTCTGCTCCTCCCTTTGATAAGATGGTTCCCCTCCAGTAAAGCCCACTGGGAATACTGCCCAGCAATTCCCTTTTATAGGGCTCCACAGTGCCCTTTTGACTTACCAAGGCACAACAGCACTTTGCATACGTGAAGCAGAAAACTGATAAGAGATTTTGAGATCACATTAAAGAAACACTTCCAATCCACGGATGCCACTTCCACAAAACACAAGGCACCGAGCAAAAGAAAGTTAAAGCAAGAACACTTGCTTGAGGAATATCACAGTGCTTTTGTGTCATGTTTTCCTCAGGCTCTGGGACACTGCCTCAGCTCCCCTTCTGGATGTGCTTCAACCATTTACCTTCTTACACTCGCTAGATGGCATGGAATCCTCCTCTGATTCCTCAGCCATGGAGGAAGCACATGGAGATGAACAGGGCTCTTTGTCTTCATCAGCAAGGAAGTTGTTTGCTTTGTGGAGAAGGGAAAGATTTGTTGTTATGAAACGATTTATTCCTATTGCTCCCTCTCCTTCCCTTTATTTTCTGTCTTAAAGTCGCTTTCAGAGTGGCCCTCAGTGACAACTTCCCCATACTTCCACTCTTCCCTTTTAAATAAAAGAACGTTCAGTTGCCATATGGGTGATGCCAACCAAGCCTTCATTTTGTGAGGCAGCAGCAGGAATAAGATCACATCACATCGAGTCTCTCACGCATTTCAGCTTCATACCTGATATTTAACTGCCACAATACATCAGGCCACTACTGCTAATGAATTTATTCCCTTGTAGAGATGTCAGACCCAGCACTGGTCTTACAGACTGTAATTGCAACAGGTAGCAAAACATTTCTCACTTTCTCACTGTTCTGAGTTATGGCTAAACACAGCTCTCTCCTGATCCCAAGAGTCCACCCAAACTCACGTCCAACTGATGCTGGGTGACCCCACCAGCACACAAGTTTATTCACAGCCCCCAGAAGGAACATGGGGAAATTTATGTCAGGGAATTTAGGGACAAAGTAAAGAAATACATCCCTGCTTTACCCTGCAGATCACATCCAAGTACAAAACAATTACTTAGAAATCAGCAACACGTACAGCCAGGCTGGTTTGGGAATAGGTCTGATGCATCGTGGGAGGTGACCGATGGGGTCAGATCATCTGCTGAAGACTGTGTCTCCTCTTCCTCCCCTGAAAGCAAATCCTTCGCTATTTGTTCCTTTTAACAACAACAAGAAAGTGAAAAACAGTTTAGATTAAAAAAAGAATTACATGAAAGCAGGAAGGGGGGGGAGCAAGGCGTAGAGGAAAGCACTTCTGCCCCAGAGTGGCTGCATCCACAGCTCTCCTCACCCTCCCACAGCTTCAAAGACAGATTCTCCCTCCTGCTCCCCATCACCCCTAGATTATTCACCCTTGAAGCACTCCTCTAAGGGTTCAGAGGAGAGTGGACTCCTATGGAAGCCAGAGATAGGTTAGCCAGCACTAAAGGTAGATCCAAACCTTCCCTGTCTATTCGCAGACTCACCTTACGAGCCAAGAACTGTTAACAAAGTTCCATACAGAGTTGTGACAGTGTCCTTTTTCAAAGCTCTCTTTCCTCCAGCCTCCTCCATACTCTGTATGTTCATTCACATTTCTGCACCTGGTGTTTTTCACTGGGGCACCAGAACCAGGCAGACCCCTTCCCTTAGCATCCCCCAAACTCCCTTTGAAAAGAGCCACCAGACACGTGGAGCCCCAAGGCAGCACAGCAAGCTGCAGTGCAGGCCACCAGCACACACCCAAGCTGACAGCTGCTCTTACCTTATCCAGAGTCATATCAGGGAGATTTGGAGGGATGTCATTGCTCTCGCTGTCCTGCTCTGAAATGGGATCGGATGCCTCATAGCCATAAAGTGCAAGCAGCTCCTCAAATGGCATTTCACTGCTCTGAGCGAGAGGAGGACAAAGCTTCATCAGGCATGGAACAATCACCGAGAACAACAGCAGCTGCAGTGAACACAGAGATATGCAGAGGCAGTCATGGCAGCTCTGCTCTTCTGGGGGCTCTGAGTGCCTTGGGTAATTGCAGCACAATGAATGGGGGCATGGTCTTCCACCACAACCTGTTTTTTTCCAAGTTAAGGACAAGCCAGGAAATTTCACCCCCAAAACAACACAGTCGAAGTATTTTAGAAATACATTTCTACCAGATTTCATGCTGGTGAAAAGATGCCAAACTGTAAAACTGTAGTGATACAGAAGAAGAGATGGAGCAAATTCCTGCACTGCTCTTGGGCCAGACCTGAAGAGCAAGAGCACGCTTTGTGTTCCACTGAGGCCCCCATGGGGATCATCCACCAGAGAACCACATCATCTGTTCTCTGTGGCTCCTCTCCACCATGCAATGGATGCTGCACATGCAGCCAACAGCTGATGGCTCCTTGATAACGTGTGTGAAGGAACAGCAGTCAGTGGATACCTGGCAGACCATCACATATTGCTGCCAGCTGCTGAAAGACCAACTCCTTGCTATCCAAATTCAGATCTAAGACCTATTGGTGGGTGGACTTAAACACAGCACAGAGCAAGCAAAACAGTTTCCCACAAGGATCTTTGGTGCCAGTACTGTCAAAGAAAAACAAGAAAATCCATCAGGTAATTTCCCCTTCCCCTCCCTTGCTGCCTTTACCTGAGAGGCACTGAAACTCTTCTCCAGCTCTTCTAAAGACTTCTGTTTCTCCTGAGCATCATCTTCTTCTTCCCTTTCTTCCCGTACGCCGTAGTTCTGCGAAAGGATCTCTGCTAGGTTCAGTCGGTGATCAGCTGAGCCCATTGACACAACTGCAGGGATTAAAACAAGTTGGACACCAGCACCACCCTGAACCCAACCTTCTGATGCAACAAAACCTGACAAGACCCTTTCTTGTGTGCATGTGCAGCCACAATAAGCCAGAGGAAGAGATTAGGCAGAAAAGAGTGAGAAAGAATGGAAACAACTAAACAAAGTCCTTCTGTGAGCACTACAAGCCTGGCTCCCTAAACATTCACATCCCATGACTGTTTCCCAAGTATTTATGCTCCTCTCTAAGCTGGATCCTCTGATGCCATTCATCTGAATGCACGCTGCAGCTTTTCCTTCATTGGAGGCATTTTCAGGATAACATTGGGAGAACAGCAAACAGACATTTGTAGGAGCTTTGGCATCATTCAGACTTATCCATCAAATGTCATCCGAATCAACCAAGGAGTTCCAAAGATGTTGGAAGGAGAAAGGGAGGAAACAGACAGACTGACCCCAGGAGCACGGATTCCTCTGGAAATCAGACCAACAAAACAGAAGGACAAAGCATGGCTACCTGCTGCACTCTGAAGGCTGGGCTCTCCAGGACAAAGGCTGTGGGCTGGGTATGGCACCACCCTGGGGCTCTGCCTGCCCACCGAGGCCTTGAAGGAAAGAGAAAAACCTGGCTGAGACATCTCTTAAGAACGTAAGGCACCTCTTAACCCCACCAGTAAATGCAATCAGTTTCATTTCAAAGCAGAAGATAATAAAAACCACACAGGGTAGCACTGGAAATCGTGCTGTGCAAGCAGAACTCTTGTTAGGTGCATGGAGCAGCTCTCCCAGGGCTCTGCTCTTTGGGTTCTGCACCTTCCCCTCAGTCTTTAAGTGCATGTGGGGGAGTTTCCACCTTACCTTCAGAGCTCTGCTAATTATTTATCCTCTCATCAGCACTCATCAGCTCCAGACCTCAGCTCTTTATGGTTTACACGCTCACTTAAATGAAGGATTTTAACCCCAAATACACACATCACGCTGTGTTGGAACACAGCACTTCCAGGACCTGAGCCACTCTTTGGAGACACAATCAGACACGGCCATCCACCACCACGTCAGCTTCTCCCTAAGGCCTCACCACATTCAGGAGACTCAGAGGGGCCAGGCAAGAAATTCAGAGCTGGGTAAGCAGGAAAGGAGCCTGGGAGGTGTGAAAGTAGCAGAGGTGAGGTAGGAAGAGGTGAGGCAGGCAGATGGTAAGAACAGGATCCTGCCTTTTGGCATTCAGTGTGTGGTCAGAAGTTCAGGCTGAGGCCTGAAAGCAAAGCAGAACATCTGCAGCTCCCTGGGCTGAGGGACGTGGAAATGCTGTTCATCAAGTTCAGCCCAGGTAGGGAGCAAGCAGGTAATTAAGTGATGCCTCTGAGCTGACTGAGAGCATCTGATGGCAGAAGGAAGTCAGAGCATCAGTCCAGCACAGTCATTGCTGACATCTCGTTGTGATCCTCTTTGTGAGCCAGGGCATTTAGGGTGCTTCAGTGCAAGGCTCTAAAAGCTTAAAAAATACAGGTTCCTATCAAAACTGATCCTCTAAAAGGAAGTATGCACCAAAAAAAGCCACTCCAGGCTTTGGTTTAGAAGGCAGCAGATGTTCCCATCAAGACAAAGACCAAGAAGGAGGGAAGGCAAGGACGTGTGAAGCAGCCATGGAACTCCTGTTCCTTCCCCTGCCCAGAGCAGTGAAACAAGGATGCCTCAGTCCCAGCTGAGGTGCACAGCGTGCTGCAATCCGTCATCCCTGGGGCCTGAGCTTTAGCAACAGGGTCACCCCACTGCAGACCATTCTGGCTGCAGGCAGAGCGCACAGAGAAGAAAAGGGAGGAGGAATTTGTGGGCTAATGGAAGGAAAGAGCTCAGCCAACCTCCATTTTGAGAGCAGTCGTGCTGGGAAACGGATTCATAACACAAGAAAGTTCAATGTCTCTTTGTCGGTCCTTGCCAGAATGGGACTGAGCACAAAACCCTCTTGGATAAATCCATCCAAACAAATAATCCCAGTCTGGTAAGGATGAGAAGGGTGTGGGCTTCACTCCCTTTCGCCTCAAGTGATGTGCAGAGCTCCCTGTCCTGAGACAGTGATCCATATATTGACTGTGCCTCCTTCACACGGGGATCAATGCGGAGCTGCACGCAAAGGATTCTGAACGAAGACTGAAAGCAGCAGCAGCCGCTTTGTCAAGCAGGGCTGGCTTGAAAAGGTGTCAGAACAGTTCAGGGATGATGAGCTCTCGGATTAAAGATCAGATGCTACAACAAAGAGTAATAGTCAATATGGCAGGATGACAACCCAGTAACTAAGCACTGGTTTATGCCCACAAAGCACTAAGGCAGCATTAGGGAGAGTGGGAACTGCTGTAAGCTGGAGATCACCATGAAACGATTGGCACTGCTGTGTTTGGCTTGAGAAAAGAAGAAAAACTGAACAACCCTTCAAATTATTAGGAATTAGGGGAACAGACAAGCCAGAGGAATAAGAGGGAAAAGAAGGTCTGGCTTAAATAGGTAAATAATGACAGAAAGAATATTCCTGATGCCACGTGATGGGTGGTTATTCCATGTGAAGGCGAGGAGCTGCAGTCTGACACTTCAGATGCAACCATCAGGCAGGAGGAAGGAAACACAACAGCATGACGTGCGTTGGAAAGAGAGCAGGAACACCAAGGCATCATCAGATGCCCCCAGATCAAGAGTGGTGTCACCTACTGCTGGTGGCAGCTCCGTCCCCACGGGAGACAACAGCACTGATCTCCATTCACCTCTACAGTGAGCTACGAGGGTGGAAAATGGCTCCTCCATCCATCGGTCACTTGGGAAAGGAAAAGGTATTCCCAGCAGCAGTTCCCCTTCCATTACTCTCTGCTTCTCAGGCATAATCACAGAATCACTGAATGACTTGGGTTGGAAAGGACCTCAAAGATCATCCAGTTCCAACCCCCTGCCTCTCCCAAAAGTCACACAGATGTTGACCCGTTATCCAATCTCTTCTTTGTATTTTTAGATATTTCCAGCACTCCATTCTGTGTTCTGGACTCAAGTTTTTGAGCACATCAGACCAATCAAGAGTTGTGTCTTACACAAAGGAAGGCACAGACAAAGCTGTTCTCCACTGCAGCGCTGACTGCGATTGTCCCGAGAAGGAAAGTCTCTCAAGCTGAAGCAACTCTTGCAAGAAAGCGAGGAAAAAGAGAGAACACTTCTCCTTCTAACATCACTACTTTAATAACTGAAGTGATTTCCTGAGCTAGTTTAACATGTATTTTGAACTCTGTGAGAGTCAACTTGGATTTGCTTTCTACAAACCCCAGTGGTAGCCAGAGGAAAGCAGTGTGGATGGGAATACATTTGTGCTGTATCCTACGCAGCTGAAGGAGCAAAACATTCACAAAGGCCACATCCTGCACTGCCCACATCTCTTGTTCTGGTGATGCCATAAGGGACACCCGTGCTCCAACCTCATCAGCGTGGCCCTGTGCTGTCCCAAAGGCAAAGGGATTCGTCGGTCAACCTCACACCAAAGCAACAGCATAAAGAGGAACGCAGCACTGATGCTCCAAGGGCCAAAATGAAGATGGTGCTGTTCTGGGCGGGACAGGCAGAGGAGTGCTGTGATGTCCCAACGGTGAAATCTGCTGCTCTGATAGAAGCTGTTGTCCCACGATGAACAGCAGCCAATGCAGTGCTCCCAGTGCAGTGCTCCCAGTGCAGAGCTCCCAGTGCAGAGCTCCCAGTGCAGAGCTCCCAGTGCTCCCATCAATCCCACGTGCCTCCATCACCACGAGGCCCGGCAGTGTTTGGGAAGCGCCAGGAGATGTCAGAGCAATGCAGGGCGATGGGTCCAGTAGCAGCACCAGGAGAAGCCAAGGGGTCCCAGCCCAGCACCCCCACGGGACAACCCCCCTCCCAGTGCTCCTTCCCACGGTTCTGCCTCCAAATCCCCCCGGGGATCCCATCAGATCAAACTCCCGCACAGCCCCGCTCCGCTCCGTGCCCGCTCTCGGCTCCAGGCCCAGCCCCGCTGCTTCCAGAGCCCCTCCGTCGCTCAGGCCCTCGCCCCTCACACAACCGGGCCCAAGGCCCGGCAGCTCCCGGCTCGGAGCCGGCCCCGCTCCCCGGAACCCATCCACGGACACTGCATCCCGCAGGGATCCAACCCGGCCCAAAAGCGATAGGGAAGACGCGGCCCCATCCAGGCTCCGGCCCGGCGCGACCCCACCGGCTCCGCACTCACCTCCGCCATGGCCGGGCGCGAGCGGCGGCGGAGGTTGGTGGGGGGAGGGGGGAAGGGGGGAGAGCGGGACCCGGATGTGGCGGCGGCCGCTGATTGGCTGCAGGGCCACGAGGGCGGGGGGAGCGGCGGAGGCGCGGCGGGGTCAGAGGTCAGAGGTCAGGGGGCGGGGCTAAGCGGAGCGCGGGCTGAGTCCGGCCCCGGTGCATCGCGGATCCCATTCGGAGTGCAGGGCCCGAATCCGGAGAGCCGCGAGGAGCTCGGAGCCCCGGCAGGCCGGAGCGGGCGGAATCTGAGCCTCAATCACAGCGCTGTGATAAAGGCGGGGCCGGGTCTGAGGCCTGGCCGGTGCCGGGGGGTCGGTTTTGCTTTGGGCTCCGTTTCGGAGCTCCAAACCCACAGAGAAGCGGCTCCAGGTTGCCGTGCGAGTCCAGGTTCACTCAGACGCCTCCTTCCCTTCAGCCTGGAGGAGGCAGAGCTGCAGTGCCCCAAAAGTTTGGAAATAAGGACTGATTGCAGCAAATCCCTTTTAGCTCTCTGTAGCTGGTGGTGCTCAGGGCCACGATTTAGCACTGGGTGGTTGGGGTAGGATGGTTTGGTTGAGGTTGGGCTCGATGATCTTGAAGGTCTTTTCCAACCTGAGCAGTTCCACGGTTCTGTGATTGCCCGTCTCTGCTCTGTTGTGCAGTGCTGTGCCAGAAGCACAGTTTTCCAGTGACCTGGATCTGCGTCCATGCCAGCTTCCAGCTCTCTGCTTAATGACTGCTCTGACAGCTGCCAGGCTGTGCCTCTCCCAGTGTCTGTGCCCAAACTGTTACACTGTGTCATCAGAATCAGCACAGAATTCGCCACCATCGTTCAGCCACCTGATGCAGTATCGTCCTTGGAAGATGTTGGGGTGGGCAATGGCAGCTGCTTGGGCTCTACAAAGCCCAAGTATTAGGGAAATGAGGTATCTAAATACGTACATTGACATGTGTGTATCTGACAGCCCAGCAGAGGGTAGGAAGTGGATGAAGGCACTGGGGGAGAAAGGATCTGTCCCCCTCTCAACCCCTCCCCCTGCTCTGCCCATCCATCTTGCACGACTGAAACCCAACGGCATCTCTTTGCTCAGAGGATAGCACAGCCCTGGGGTGCTCTGGGAGTGGAGGTGGAGCAATACAAGCCCTGGGCTGGGGGCTGCAGGATGCCCCACACTTCTCCTGGTACCCCGTCTGTCTGTCTGCCTTGGAACTGTGAAGACAGACACACAGCAGAGGGATGGGGGGCCGTAGAGATCCTCAGAGCTTAATCCTCCTGCACAGCCTCCTTCCTCTGCTCAGATCATCCCGTGCAGATGCTAATCTGCAGGAGGGAAGAAAGAAAAAAAAAGGATTTCACATTTAATTGTGGAACATAAAGACGTTGCGGGGTCATTAAAACGCCATGAATATGGAAATGAAATCCACAGGTATCCATGCAGGTAACGGCAGGGAGCCGCAGGTAATGCTGGATGGTGGAAAGGTTGGCTCTGTCCCAAGGCATCATTAACCCCTGCTATAGGGCCTCGTGTCACAGCCACAATCTGCTCTGAGATGAGCTCCTGGGTAAGCAGGGCTGCACCTCATGGGGTGCAGGCAGCAGGATCGGCCACTGAGCACTGCCTGGGTGCAGGGGAGATGCAGGCACTGCAGGGACAGCACTGGGTGCCACTGCCCAGCTGCACTCGGCCCACCTGGATCGATCCCAGCCACAGCTGGGAAACTTTCCTCTTCCAGTTCCCATGGAAACGAGGGATTTTCTTCTCCCCAAACTTGAGCCCTCTGCAGGGACTGCAGGGCCAGGCAGCAGGCAGTGTTCAGCAGGCACAGCCCGTTTGCTGGAAGCTGCCAATTTGAACACACAGAATCACAGAGTTGGAAGGGACCTTTAAAGATCCAACTCCCTTGCAACAAACAGGGATACCTACAGCCCCATCAGGGTGCCCTTCCAAAGGCACAGAGCAGAGGTACGGATGCTCCTCCAGGGCTGCTCCTCCAGCCCTCCACATCCCCCATTTCTATCTCAGCTCCAGTGAGAGATCTCATGTGCACAGAGAGAATGCAGCCATTACAAAGAAGAAAACATTTAATACTTTTATTTAGAGATACAAGTTGAGATTTGAGGGTCTTTTTTTTTTTCCTTTTCCCCTTTACAAACCATTACAAAAAAGGTCTTGCAAGTTGTCCCAGCTGACAGACTCATCTCCATCCACCTGAGCAGGAGCCAGCAGCTCTGGGCCATGGCTGCAGCCCTCAGTGGGGCAGGGACAGGGCACTGAGGCCATCGGTCCCTTCGGCCCCCTGCACTGCTGGGAGCTGGGGGAGAAATCCACGTGTGCTCCCACATCCTGCACCAGGAGAGAGGGTCAGGCACTGGTGCCAGACGAGGGTCAGCCCACGGTGTAGCAGGGGACCAGACGTACATCAACATGCATGGTTAAAAACATTAAAAACGTTCTGTGTAAATGTAACAGGAGATGGAGCAGCTGCAGTGTGGGGCTGGCAGGGAGCTAAGGCTTGCATGCGTGGCCAGGAGGTTGCTGGTCAAGAAATGCAGTGCCAGAGCCCTGCCAAGTGCTGCAGCAGAGGTGCCAGGCCCCCAGAGCAGGGAAACCATTTTTCTATCAACACTGGAAAAGCAAGAAATGGAGCTCAGGAGCTGTGGATGCAGCGCCGTGCTCTCTTCCCCAGGAGCTGAACACTGTAGCTCCCAGCCCCGTTCCAAAACGTGTATGGGGAAAGAGGCTGGGAGCAGCCAGGGCAGCCAGGAGCAGGGCAGAAGGGGTGCAGAGATATAAGATGCCTTTTCCACCAAACGCATTTACAGGGTGCAGAAGCTGAAGGTCACAGAGCCCAGGGTGCAGCTTCTCCCAATGGGTGGAGATGGCCATGGGGAGGGGGCAGAGGAGGGGCAGCAGGAAAGGCACGTGAGGATTAACCTGGTCCAAAGCAAGCAGCCCCAAGGAGCAAGCAGAGGGACTGCAGCTCAGCCTCATGGGGTTCTGATGGGGAGAACAAGCACAGAGCTAGCAGGTGAGAGGATCTCGCATGGGACCATTCTGCAATCTGCTCTGCCTCACCATGGGCAGGAGCATTCATCTGCCTCCCTTGTCTGGAGCTAAGAGTTGGACTCGATGATCATTAAGGGTCCATTCCAACTTGGGATATTCCATAGGCAGACCCTGGGCTGCAGCCCAAACTGCCCCTTGAGTCACCCCTCAGTTTTGCAGGTAGAGGCTGCAGCAGGAAAAGCCCAAACTTCAGAAGCAGCCCAGCTTAAAACATTTCCAAGGCAGAAAGGAATTGAACCGTGCCGTGCCACGGAGAGGACAGAGAGCCAGCACCATGCATCAGACATCTCTGCCCCTCTCCAGGGAGGGGAGGGACAGCACAGAGGCTCAGCACTGCCTTGAGCTGGTGTAGTGTTCCATCTGTGTCATAGTGTTGCTCTGCTCCGTGCTTTCTCCACTGAGCCCTGGCTCTGGGGTGCTGAGGAAGCTGAGTCCCTTCCCACAGCAGCTGGGTGTCAGATTGAGCAGGGGCTGTAGGCTGAGGGGAGGTGGGTAGTGTTCAGGGGCAGATGCCCACACCATCCTGAAGGAGGGGCAAATCTCTCACCCCTCCACGAGGCTCAGGGCTGCTCAGCACCGGGTGACCTGGGGTAATGATCAGCATGAAGGTCATGCACCCCGGCTCTCCAGCACAGCCAACCTGGTTCACACGGAAACTGGACCAAAGGAAAGACAAAAACTGGACAGGGAGAGGCCTATGACCCAGCTTGAACGTACAGACTGGAAGAACCTGGCAGGATTCATAAAGTACCTAAGTTCAAGCACCAGAAGGACACAAAAAAAAAACCAAAACAAAAGACAAAACATATTCTCCAGGATAGGGCTGTCTGACCCTTCTGGCTTGTTCCCTGGTGGCAAACTCACCCCGAGATGATACAGGAAATGGCCGTGTCTTCTCTCCCCACCTCACTAGAGGGCTCGTGTCAGGACAAACGTGGAATGCAGGCTCGGCCCTGCGCTGTGAGGGGGCACGAGTGGAGAGGAACGGGGAGAGCTGCCAATTCACTGAGGTAGCGGAACCAGCACTTCCACGTAGTTGAGTGGGAAGAAGCCTGACTGGCCATTGATCATGCCCTCGTACCAGTTTTCATCGATCTGGTTGGTCAGGGTGATGATGTCGCCTTCCTTGAAGCCAAGCTCACCATCGTTCTCGGGTTCAAAGTCGTAGAGCGCCTTGCAGCAGGGCTGGTCCAGGTGAGCTGTGGGGAGAGTGCATGCAAGGGGTGAGGAGGCTGCCTACAGTCCTGCCCCAGCCCCACAGCTGGCAGCCAGCCACTCACTCCAGTCCCAGACACCAAACCAGGTCTGGCAGAGCCAGGATTCACACAGCCCCAGTGACACGAGCGAGTACTGGGGGCTCTGCCCCGCCTGGGAGAAACTGTTTGTTAGCTTTGCCCCCAGCATGGTGAAGCATTAACTCAGTTTGAACTCTTCGATGGGTTTAAGCACAATGGCTCCTCTGCCTTCTTGTTCCAAACGTTTCCCTTCATAACTTGCTCCCAGAGCACAGCCCCAACCCCTGTACCTTCCCTGTGCCCGCCACCCCACTCTAATGGGAGAAGAGCAGCCAGTAAATTTCGCAGCTGTAGAGACTCTACTGAGAGCAAGCTGAGCTAATGCAGACCACCACAGGCTCCAGGGCCCTAATTCCCTTCCCTGTTGCTCAGCACCTGGCATGGCTCTGTGCTAGGGCAGGAGGAATGGCAGAACAGGAGGCCCAGCACACCTGGACTGCTGAACTTCCACAGCACAAGAGGGCTCAGCATTAGGAGAGAACTCAGAAAACACCAAAAGCAGCAGCCAAGCAGGTTCATTTCTGAGAGAGCTTCTCAAAACACCACGCTGGTTCCACAACCACGGCATATAACCCTTTCCAGGCTCCTTAAGCCCTCCTACCCCACTACTGTACCACCATGAGCCCCTCGCTTGCCCCACTCTGATGCCTCCAAGACACAGATTCAGCCTGCC